CTTTGTGACCCCATTTGGGGTTTTCTTGGCAAAGATCCTGGAGTGGTTTACCATTTCCTTCTCCAGCTTAGTTTACAGATGAAGAAACTGAGGCAAACAGGGTCAAGTGACTTGCCCAGATTCACACAGCTAGTAAGTGTCTGAGGCTATATTTAAACTAAGGAAGAAGAGTCTTCCTGATTCCAAACCCAGGGCTAGTTTCACTGTGCCACCTAGCTGCCTGGTAGAAGAGTATTGGTCATAAGAAAGGAGTATGTTTCGAGGAACTGGAAGGAGAGGGTATTTGAAAGAGCACTAATATGTATGTTGAAGTCTCTTAGTATGAGGACAGGAGTTGTAAGTCAGGAACTGAACTCTTTAAGGAAAGAAGGGGAATGTCCTGGAGGACAATAGACAACCGCCGCCAGAATTTTGATTGCATTGTATGAATGGATTGAGAGAACCTCAAAGCAAGAGGTTACTAAGTGATTGGGGTTAGAGGGAGAACCTGGAAGAGGCAATGGGGCAAAGGAATATTCCTGCTCTCCCACTTCAACAAATCAGAAGGAACAAGTGAAAAAGCAGCCAATACTGGAAAGGGAGGCCAGAGAGACTGGGTCATCGGGGGGGGAGCAAGATCTCAGCGACAACCAGAAGAGGGAAGGAATAGAAAAGAAAAAGATTTAAGACAAAAGCAAACTTGAATCTTATGGAGCAGGCATTCCAGACAGCACAGGGGAATGGGACAGGTAGCTTTAGAGTGGGCCGTTGGGATAGAGTTGGGTTGAGGAGAATAGGAACAATGGGAGACAGAGAACAGGGTTTGAATGATAACCAATGGAGCTTCAGAATCTTTGAGATGGAGAGGACATGTTTGGGTTGGGGGGAAGTCTGTTAATCATTGAGGAATCAATTTAAGTAAATTTTTATTTTCCATAGAAATTTGGCCTTTGAGTGGCACCCACTCAGGGTCTTAGGTAGTTCAGGCAAGGTGTCAGGTGCTTATACATGAAGGAAGGGTGTTACTCCCCTTTTACCAAGGCAGAAAACCAAGATGGAGACTTGATGGAATGGTCTTTCTCTTCTTCCTTGGAAGGAAAGAGTCTGATACTTGAAATGGTGTTTCTCCTCTTCCAGCAGGAGACAAGAGATCTGATTTGATGGAATGGTGTTTTTCACCTTTACCCCAAAGTAAGGAGACCAGTATATGAAAGGAGGGTATTTCTCTTCTTCCCAAGGAAGGCTAGAGACCAGGAAAAAGATTTAGCCTGATGGAATGACATTTTCTCCCCTTAGGAGAACACAGAGGACACGGGGCAGAAAGCTAGCTCATGGTGGAATGCTGTTTCTCTTCCCCTAGTGACGAAACAGCATTTCTCCTCTTCCGCTGGAGGCTGGAGACAAAGCAGAACTTGAAGCCATACAGCATCACCACAAAAAATATTGCTATTGAAAAGATGGTCCTTTATTTCAGAAAGAAATTTTTAGTCACTGAAAACACTTCATAGTTTCCTAAAGGCCATCCAACCCATTCACTTTGTCCCATTCAATTCCGTGTAAAGCCTAAGATACATGTACCCATGGATGAGTTCCACGCCACATCCATCCAACCTTACATCATAGACAGGATGATTGGCAGCTTTTGTCCACTTGGTTTCTTTCCCTGTGTAAATAATTAGGTAGCACAATGCCATCTCCAAGCAGAAATATCAGCTAGAACCTTGCCCTACATAGTGAATTCCTCTAACATTTTGGCTCCTACTAAACATTCTTCACAATGGGAACAAACACCTTTTGCAAGCATGTGTCCCCTTCTTATGTTTCACCTGACATTGATAATCAATCATTAAGCAAAGTGATCTCTGTTGTGACAGCTTTTGAGCAAATTTGTATAAGATTATATGACACATATATGTACATATGGATGTGGATATAGATAGCATTTTTACATCTGTTATTTAAACTATTTTTCTTGTACGTTATATATTTACAAGTAAAAAATGTACTTTGCATATACATTCCTTATTAGTAAGGATTATGTAATGTGTATATACATATATATGACATGTAATCTCATACAAAATTCCTAGATGAAATCTAAGCCCAGAGTCAGGAAGACTTGAGTTCATAATCCAGCCTCAGACTTTTATTAGCTTTCTGGCCTTGGGAAAGTCACTTAACCTCTTTTTGCCTCACTGTAAAAATGATTATAATAATAACACCTGTCTCAAAAGGTTGTTGTGAGGCTAAAACAAATTTTTTTTTAAGTGTTTAGCTCAGTTCCTGGCACATAGTAGGTGCTGTATAAATGCTAACTATCATCATCATCATCATCATCATTATATATGCATGAGAGACTCCTTATTGAACGAGAATTTTTAAGATGTTGTTTGATTCTACTGAATCAAATGTGTTTTTATATTCAATAAACAATGAGTAAAATCTTCTATTCTCTACACTTTTTGTCAACTGCGTCATTGTAAAGACATGGCAAGAGGCGATGTGGCATAACAGATCTAGAGCTCCCCCTGGAGTCAGGATGACCTAGTTCAAGTTCTCTCTATGATATGTCCTGGTTGTATCACCCTGGGAAAGTCGCATAATCGCTCAGTGTTCCATGTCCCTTTTCAAGACTAAATTATAGCACTGGCTGATCTGCATTAGGAGAGAGGATTCCTCCCTATACCGATGGGATTATAGGGCAAAACAAAAACAAACAAAAGCATGCTGTTAGGTCAGTCCCAGGTCTGTGGTTCCAAGAAGAAAATCATTCACAGAAACCTGCCTGTTCTTTTCTCATGCCCTAATCAAGTGCACATTCTCATAAACATTTTGTCCAAGGTGATATAGCTGGTAAAGAGCCATATATTGAACCCTGGCCCCTGACTTCAGGCACACCACTAAGTCTACACCTTGTTAAGGAGTAAAGCAATTTTGGCAGCTGCTAGAAAGAAGGGCAAAGGCACCCAGCTTCCCAGGCATCACCCGAGCAGCCTGGCAATATGGGGCATTGCAGAAATTAGAAAGAAGCCCCTCATTGCAGCCACACTCAGCTTCCTTCAGCAGTTTGGCCGAGTGGAGTCCTCAGGATGATTTGAAAGCAGCAAAGCTACTGACCCAAATATAAGATAGGAGTTAAAAGAAATGTTAGACCGTAACTCAAATAAGAGGTTAACTGGAGGAAAATAAACCAATAGCAGGAGAAAAGCAGTTTAAATGACAGACTTCAGAATGCCTGAGGCCTTCTCTAGTTCCCTCACTGGGTATGAATGACTCAATTCTCTATGACAAAATAGCCAAGAGTAGCCTTACCTTTTTAATTGCAGAACTGGTAAACCCTTAGCCCTATAGGGAATAAGCTGCATAGACATCATTTCTGTGTGTCTTGGGGCAGAGGGAAATTTAATTTCAAATATGTTTCTGTGTTGTGTAATGTTGTGTAAATGCCTTCCACTTTAAACTGTGTCCTCTGGTTGGCCTAGTAAACAATCAATTGGAGCTCATGAGTTATGGTTCTGAGTGGATGCTGGCTGTCAAAGTGTCTCCATCCTGGAGCGTCTTAATGGGTATCAACACGTGAAGTGGTTATACCATCCTATAGACTAACAACCAAGGGTGTACTGGAGCCAGCTCCTATCAGCTCTTCCCAGTCAAATGTCAAATTTTCAGTGTGAGCCTTTATACCTCAGAAATAGTCAAACTCTAAAAATCAAGACTTGATTTATTGATTGTTTTGTTAATTGTCTAGAATTAAGAAAATGATAGAGAAAATGTAAATAATGCAGATTAAACTTAAAATTCCTGTGTATTTTTTTCAGAGAGCTGGCTATTAAATATTTACCAGCACACTCCTGCTAATAAGCATAGTAAAATAGTTTTAGATGCACTGGAAAATACTGGGTTGAAAATGTGTTGCTACCAGTGATTTACCACATGGAAGACATGGGAGATAAAGAGAACATTTTGTTCCCAGGACCATATTCACTGGAAAGAGTCTAATTTATTCTATAGGAAAAGAAAAAGCAGGAGGCTGATTATACTATCTGAGAATGCTCCAGAGGCTCCTTGCTGGAACCTCAGTATGGTTCCCCACCAATTCTGAGCAGTGAGATGTGCTGGAAAGAACCAGGATGATAGTCAGAAAACCTAGTCTGTAATCATAGCTCTACCAATGATTCACTGTGGAACCTTAGTCAAATAATTTAATCCTCCCTTACTGAGGAGAAAGGACTTTTTTTAAGGTTTCCTCAAGATCTAACTTTCTACGATTGTTAGAATCTATGCCCGGCCTGGCCTGGCCTGGCCTGACTTAATTGTGGTTTGGGATGGGGGAATGGGTCTGTTACAGTTCATAATGGTTTTAGGAAAATCTGCCATAGACTCTCTAGGTATCCTACCCAGATTAAAGTGTACCTAGGGAGGCAAGATTAGTATTAAAGCAAATTAAGAAATGTGGAATTCCAGAAGGGCAAAACAAACAATGTCCTCTGCCCTAAGGTATTCAGGGCTTTGTCAAATGCATTCAGAGCAGAGTTGTGGTTGTTTAGTTATGTCTGACTCTTCCATGGACAGTAACTGTCCATGGAATTTTCTTGGCAAGGATATTAGAGTGGTTTGCCATTTCCTTTTCCTTTTCCAGTGGATTAAGGCAAAGAGAGGTTATGTGACTTGCCCAGGGTCATACAGCTAGTAAGTATCTTCGACTGGATTTGAACTTGGGTCTTCCTAACTCCAGGTCCAGCTTTCTATCCACTGAGCCACCTACAGAGCAAGTATTAATATAAAATGGAAAGGAACCAGGAAGATAATCATCAAGGACATTTCAGGTTTGAAAACATATCCATTGGCAACAACAATCAAAAAAAACTTTGTTTCTAACTTTCTTACCCAGTCTCCTGCCTTCAGTCCACTACCATGGAGGAAGGGGTTTTTTAAATTATTTTTTTACTTTTTTCAAATATTTTAATTATCTATTTCAAGTGGGGGGAAACAATTGTGAGAATGTTTTAAGGAATGTTAGATTTGGGTCTCTGAGGCCAGAAAAGGAGGAATGAAATCAGTTTACTTTGGCGGCTTCCAGGTGCTCCATCACAGTCTCAGCTACACGTTTCCCCCGGGGTCCTGGCCCCAGGTGAGAGCCTCATGCCCAACGATGATGTTTCTGTACAGCTGCCCCTGTCACATCTCTCACTGTGAGATCACTGAGGACACAGAAATACGTTGCTGAGTTCTCCAGCTGTGAGTCGGAGATGGTGAGATTGATGGATTTCTCTGTTTTCTCCAAGATCACCGAATATCTATCCACCCTCGCATTCTCTTGATTGTAAGAATCCTGGCGAATAAGGGGAACCATCTCCCCACTTAGAGACTGCTTGTACCAGAACAAAACTATCTGGGCCCTAGAAGTTTCATACTTGCAATTCACAGTCACAGCTTCCCCCTCCTGTACAGATGTTGATGCTGGTGCTTGAATAACATCCTCGACTGTGCTAGCTCCTGCAGGAAAGAGAAGACACAAAGGGTTGATCCTCTGCCATGACCCATCAATAATATCCCAATTCATGACTCAAAAAATTTTGAGGAATACAATTATTTCCTCAATCCTCCCCTTCCTCTCCTGATATCTTAAGTCCCCAGTTCATGAGAATTATCTGGTTTGGGACTTCTTTACCAAGAATGATGGAGCTCACAATTGCCCACAAAAGAATAGGGAGAATAGGACTCATCTTCTTTTCCCGTGTCTAACAGGGCTCTCTGTAAAGTCAATGGGGCTCTGTGATACTCACTTCTGCCCTAGAACAGGAAATGGGGTTTCTGGGTGAGGCAAGTTTAAATCTGATATGGCTTACTTATCTACAAATGGAAAGGCCTATTCTGACCTTCCATTTATTCTCTTTGTTTTCTCTTGGTCACTGAAAAACTTTGCCAAGAGGCAGTAGGCTATAATGGATAGCAAACTGGCGTTAGAGTCAAAAAGACCTGGATTCAAATTCTACTCATGTTGGCTGTGGGACCCTACACAAGTCACTTAACTTCTTAGTGTCCCAGACACTTCACTAGGTCTGTAAGCTGTATATCAGTTACTGATCTGCATTGGTAGAGGGAGTTTCCATGTTGGGAATTCCCTACCCAAAGGAAATATCAGATTTGGACCAAAAAAAAAGACCTTTTTGAAACCTTAAAGTACCATATTATTATCAGTCTCTAGTTGTACTGGTATTGGCAGGTATGTGAATAATATTAACTGACTTTGTAGAGAGCTTTAACCTTTGTAGAGAGTTTTATATATATTATCTCATTTAAGCCCCACAACAGTGTTATGAGGTAGATGCTATTATTATCCCCATTTTATAGATGAGGAAATGAGTCTTCAAGAAGTTAAGTGACTTATCCAGAGTCACACAGACATCTCATTTCCCACCTGGCTGCACTCATTTTGGACTTCTTTGATTTCTCCCACTGTAATCCTCTGTCAGGTATCTTCCCCCACCCACCCACCCAAACTACTTTTCAACTTTCTTTTGCTCATTGTCTTCCCTCTTCAGATTGTAAACTCCTTGAGGCCAGGGACTAGTTTTCTTTTTTGTATTTGTATTCCCAGAGCTTAGCACAGTGCCTGGCACATAGTAGGTGCTTAATAAATGGCAGCTAGGTGGCACAGAGTATAGAGCACTGGGCTTGGAGTCAGGAAGACCTGAGCTCAAATCTGGCCTCAGACACTTACTAGCTGTGTGACCCTATTTGCCTCAGTTTGCTCATCTGTAAAATGAGCTGGAGAAGGAAATGTCAAACCATTCCAGTATCTTTGCCAAGAAAAGCCTAAATGGAATCATGGAGAGTCTGAAAATGGCTCACCAACAAACAGCAATAAATGTTTATTGGTTATTGCCTATTGACACATATTAGTGTTACATATTGACACATACAAGTGTTAGATCAGGTCTTCCTGACTCTAAATCCAACATTCTATAGGCAGCCCCACCTAGCTGCCAATATTCTCTCCAAATTGTATCAGGAACAATGCATAGACTAAGAACCTGACATCCTCCATCCATTGACTAAGACATGTAGGAATTTTCCCTTTGCAGAAAAGGGTACCTGTTTGTAAATGCCATCACGCAGTATTAAATCCTGCAGTGAGGTCAATCAGTGAGACTGGAGCACCATCTGCAGGATGTCCATGGAAGAGGCAGGTGCTGAGTAACACTACCACAAGCTGGCTGAGTCTCTCTCTACATTTCAAGGTGCTGATGTATAGAAAGTTGTTGTTTCAAGTACAGCAATTAATCATGTTTCTCTCTCACATGAATATATTAATGTCACAGTCATTTTTCCATAGTTTTACTTATAGTTCCTAGCACCACTCCTTCCATGTAGAATAAATAATAAAATGTTTTTAGTACTGAATTTTTTTTAACCGAGACAATGCCTTTCCTAGTATAACCATGGGCTGGAAAATGGGAGCCCCATCCCCTGAGGGCCTGTTCCATCAGGAAAATAGAGTAAGAATACCCAAAGGGACAAATTTTTGCTGGTAAATATGAAACTAATGACCAGTAACTCTGGGGTGAGAACATGGAGTGGAGGGAGAACACAAAGGAGAAGACTGAGATCAGGCAGACTTTTCTGAAACAAGCTGAGTCCTAGGGCTTCAACATATGATGAAAATGATGGGGGCAAAGAGCACTATCCTATCCAAACTAATTTCCCCATTTTTTTATTCCAGTATCTATGTCATAAGTTTGGGGCGGGGGAGAGAAAGAGCTAAGGTAACAGTAAGTTTAGAGCTAAGAAATAAAAGGACATAAAAGACATAAGATTTCCCATGAATCTAGCCATTTTTAGCTAGACTAGTCAAGCCCTTCCGCAGGAAAGTTTTTTTTTCCTTGCATTAAGCTTCTCATCTCATAGAGGTCATAATCTACCAGGAGAGATTCAGCACATCCAGTTTTCTCTGACCACTGCACAAGACTTTTGTCTCATCTCATTTCCCCTAAATCAAGAAGTGGGGAGAGGGGAATGAATATTTGGATTTAGGTGAGCCAAGTATTACAATGTAGAAAACATAAAAAGCAAGTTTTTTTCTTTCTTTACCATTTTCCTTAAGACTTATTTGGATTGTCATAGGTAACATAGCCTCAAGTCCGCGTATGTGTAGAAGCTCACAGTTCAGACATTTCTCCATTCAAAGTTTCTAGTTGTCTGAACAAAGAAGAATCTGTTTGCTCATTTCAGGGCTCCCGGGAGTAAATCATCAAGGATGATCTTTGGTCTTTTTCCCCTAGATGTCTCTCTGGAAATAGAGAATGAGTCTGAAAGCAACTGCACTGCCCAATAGAGGATCATTCTCAGGGTGTTAGAGCAACAATGTCACCATCTCCTTCTCTCTCCAGCCTCAAAGCGTGGAGTAGAAGTGTGTGTCACCCAACTTGGTCCCCACCCCAGACTCCTTCGCTTTGCTGCCTGGACACTCTCTCTGGTTCCTTACCCCCAAACCTCTTCCTTTACAAGCACAGGCCTTCTTCCCCTTTGTCCCTCCTCTGGCCCTACCCCAAACCCTGGCTTTATTTTTTATTCCTCTACTCAAAGACTCAGAGATGTCAGGCATTTAGAATCCATTCACTGTGTCCGTTTCTCTTCCAGTCCCCCCAACCCAGGTTTCGCTTCCTCCTCCCCACAACACACACACCCATTATAGACAGAACAATGGTTATCACGTCATTGTGAGTGAAACCAGGAGAGAGATCCAGAAAATCGGTGGCCGCCAACTCTGCCAGCTGGGCCAACGATCTACAGTCTTCTGGCCTCCGGTTTCTGCTGCCTTGAACACCCACCTCGTACAGTGCAGGTTAAACTTCCACAGCTGGAAGCAAGAGTTACAATGACAAAAGGGGTTTTAGTTTCGTTGTGGGAAAGAAGAGTATCAAATTAGGGACAGGACTCCCGTAGGAGGATGAGACAATGATAATGGATAGGTAACTGGAGCTTTGGAGCATGCCCAGATCATCTAATATGCAGGTACTCTGCTTCTGGGAGAAGGCATCCTGTGTGCCTTACCACATGGCAGTAGCATCCTTCACTCGGCTGTATAAACATAATTAGAGCACACTCCATATTTAAAACCACCAGACTATAAGAGTCTCATTCTCTCTTTCCTGCACACTCTTTTTTTGCCTATACAGTTTCAGAGAGGCTAAAGTTTTACCTACAGCACTGGCACCATGAACTGAACCAGTAAGGGGGCAAAAGGCTACCTTCTCTTCCTCTCCCTTTTAGATCTTGTGATCCTGGGAAACTGACTTCAGGCTTTTGTTTGTTCTCCTTCATCTGGCATGTGGGCTAGAACTCTGGACAAGGAACCAAAAAGACCTGAGTTCATTTTAGCCTCAGACACTTATCAGCTGTGTGATCCTAAGCAAGTTACTTAACTTCTGCCTCAGCTTCCTCAACTACAAAATAGGAAAAATAAAAGAACCTCGCAACAAGGTTGTTGTGAGGATCAATTTGTAAGATTTAGCACGGTGCCTGGCGCATAAAAGGCATTTAACGAATGCTTATTCCCTTCCCCCCTCAACACTTCTTTTTCTCAGGTTCAGATGCTGGAGGTACAATCCCAAGCAGACCCAGAATCATCAAGCCATAGTGACTTTGGAGCCAGGGATTCCAGGCTGAATTTTGCAGCCAGCCAAAACAGCAGGGTACCCCTGAGAAAGCAGAGTGCCTGGGACTTGAGCCCAAGCCAGGCTTTGGACTTGGAACTTGGGACTGTGATATATAGGATCAGGGTAAAGCTGCAAAATTTTCCTATCCTCTCCTCAGAGTATGAAATGGTGCTAAAGAGGGATTGTGTTGGAATATTTTGTTATTATACTTTTGAGGTAAATATTCCTTTGTAAAAAAAACTAATCCAACTATTAGGTGGTTAAATAGAACTGGAATGCAGAAATTGTCCTACCATTGGATGAGGGATAGCTGGAGCCAAGGAAGAAAGCCTAGACACTTTAAAAATTCTTATTAAGGGTACTAGAAAACTCCCAGAGGAGAAGTGAAATGTAACACACCCGATCCTCAGAAAATAGGAGACAATGTAATCACTTTTACAGATAAAAAACAGAAAGTAGAACTACTTAACTTTGATTTTGCTTCTTTTTTCTCTTCCAAGGAGGAGCAATCTTTGGACTTGAGGGGACAGATCAAAAATGGTTAATAATGAAATGATACTCAGGATAAGTAGGGAGAGAGTAAATGAATGAATTGATTCGTGATTACCAAGCCATTACCAATGATTGTTGAAAAATCATGGGGCAGCTAGGTGGCACAGTGGATAGAGCACCAGCCCTGAAGTCAGGATGGACCTGAGTTCAAATCCAGCCTCAGACCAAACACTTAACACTAGCAGTGTGACCCTGAGCAAGTCACTTAATCCCAATTGCCTAAAATAAAGAAAGAAAAAGAAAATCATAAAGAATGAGAGTGGTATCCCAGGAGAAAGGAAAATGTCCTGATTTTTTTTTGAGGAAAATGCTAGAATATGCAAATAATGGGCCAATGAACTTAACTTTAATTCTTGGAAAAAGTTTAGAACATATTATTAAAGGGATGATTAGTGCACAACTAGAAAAGAAAGCAGTGGTCACATAGAGCCAACATGACTTTATCAGGAACAAGTTATGCCAGATTAACCTCATTTCATTTTTAGATAGAAATACTAGACTAATAAATAAGAGGATGTAGTATACATAGTTCATCTCCATATTATCAAAGCTTCCGATTTATGTTATACTATGTCTAGGGAAAAGTTAGAGAGATGGGTTCAATGCTAGCAAAATTGAGAAGACTCAACCTGTTTGAATAGCCAAATCCAAAGAGAAGTCAATAATGGTTCAATGCTGACCTAGAAAGACATCTCTAATGGAGTGACCGAGAGAGGCTTTGTCCTATACTGCTTATCATATTTACTATTATTTAGATAAAGACATTTATGACTTCACATATTTTTCTAGGTTTTTTTAGCTATATGCCCAATTCACACAGCTCTTTCTCTCTTTTATCGATATATACATTTAGAGATATAAATTTTCCCCTAAGCACTGCTTTAGCTGTCTCTCATAAATTTTGGTATGTTGTCTCATTATTGTCATTCTCTTTGCTGAAATTATTGATTGTTTCTATGATTTATTCTTTGATTCACCCATTCTTTAGGATTCGATTGTTTCATTTCCAATTATTTTTAATCTCTGCTTCCACAATGCTTTATTGAATGCAATTTTATTGCATTATGGTATAAAAAGGATGCATTTTGGTTTTTCTGCATTTGGTTGTAAGGTTTTTATGCCCTAATACATAGTCAATTTTTGTGAAAATGCCATGTACAGTTGAGAAAAAGGTATACCTCTTTCTATTGCCATTCAGTTTTCTCCAAAGATCTATCATGTCTAACTTTTCTAAGATTCTATTAATCTCTTCAGCTTTTTTCTCATTTATTTTATGGTTACTTGCTTTAATTTCATCTTTATTGGTGGTATTTACACCCTTTCCATTTTTGACACTGGTAATTTGGTTTTCTTCCTTTTTAAATCAAATTAACCAATGGTTTATCTATTTTTTTCATAAAACCAGATCCTAGTTTTATTTATTAGTTCAATGGATTTTTATACTTCCAATTGTATTAGTCTTTCCTTTGATTTTCAGAATTTCCATTTTGGTGTTTGGGATTTTTAATTTGTTCCTTTTCTAGTTTTGATGGTATCATCAAATTTGCAAAGACAAAAAACTGGGAGGGAGAGCTAACACACTAGAATCAGGACCCAAAAAAGATCCAAAAGGTTTGGATGTTGGGCCAAATCTAAAATGTTGTAGAGAGAATTATAAAGTCTCACGAGAGTTCAAAAGATCAATTTCACACATACAAGAAAGAGGACATATAGCTAGAGAGCACAGAAACATAGGATCATAGATTTAGAGCTAAGAGGGAACATAGAAGTCATCTAATTTGACCCCCTCATCTTACAGACAAGGAAACAGAGGGGTAGGGGGAGTCTGGATGCAAGGAAACTTACTTAAAAGACTACTGCAATAGTCCAGATGAATGGGGATATAAATTAGGGTGATGGTAATGGGAATGCAACAATGTTCTACAATATCTCTAGTCTCTAAAATTCCACAGTATTCCAGTTTTATCAAGAATAGAAGGTGCTAGAGAGATCCTGAAGCCAAGGTGACCATGTTTGGTATGTTTAGAGAAACAACTTTGTCTCATGGGTGAGATTCTCAGGCTTCATGTGACTCTTCCAAAAGCAATAAATATATTTCTCTTGATTTTCTGTGCTACTGCCCTTCTCAAATACCTTTGGGACACCTCATTCTACTGATATCTGGCAAAAAGTCAAAGCCAAGGACATTTATTACATGAATGAAAGACTAGAGATTACTTCCACTGTAGATTAAGGAAGAAACAGCACTGTTTTTATTAAAAAGATATTTATTGAGCACCTATACTTAAAGGCAGTTAGGTGGCACAGTGGATAGAGCACCAGATCTTCCACAATCTCTAGTTCTTTATGCCTGTAATAATATTTGGGTATTTGAGTGTCTGACTCAGAAGTACCTTCTATTCTTGTCTCACACCATTCCCTTTCACATACTCTTTTCTAACCAAACTAAACAGGTGACAAATTAGCTTTAGTGCCTAGTGCCATATCTTTGCTCCTGCTTTGCCCTGCACTGTAATGCCACTCCTCCTGATCTCCATCTGAGAAAATTCTTTCCAGCCCTTAAAAGTTCAGTACCACTTAATACATGAAACTCCCCTCTTCTATAATGATTTTCCCTCCTCTGAACTCTCATTGCACTTTGTATTTTGATTGTGCATTTAATATTCTCATTTTTATAATATGCATTTTTGCAGATGTTTATCTCTTCTGTTATAACCTTTTTGAGGTCATAAGTTTTTCATTTTCTTTTTAATTATTGTGAACTTGATAAACATCAACAAACACAATTGTTTCCTTATATAAAGAAAAAAGAAAAAGAAGATTGTCTATGACACTGTGAATCTCTATTTTGTATAGCTTGGTTTGTTTTTAACTATAAATAAAAAATAACTTGATAGCTCCCACACTGCCTAGTGTGTGCCCCCTTCTGAACTTACTTCTTCTCTCTTCTGTGTATTTTAATATTCCATTGATGATTTTCTCTTTTTTGGTTTGGTTTTTTTTTTTTGCTACTTTTAGCAGAGAGTTATCACTATCACAACTCCCACAATTTATCACAATTTATATTTTACCCCCACAAACTCCCCCCCAAAATAATAAAAAAATTTTAGCAAATAACCATAATCATCCAAAATGAATCCATACACTGAATCTAAAAGTGTATATCTTATTCTGCACTTTATTACTTTTCTGAAGGACACCACTCTTAAATTTTAAATATTTATTTTTATATCTTTTTTCACCATCTCTCAACTATCCTTTTTACTTAAAATGTAATTCATAAATGTTTCCTGAGTTAAATTGTCTCATATGACTTACTTTTTTGTATTGAGACTGTGACGTCATTAAAGACAAACAATATAGTAATGATAGGGCTAAGACTGGAACCTGGATTCTTAGTTCACTGCTCTTCAAAACAGACCCCCTTACCTCTCAAGGAAGAAGGCTTTGTATCAGCCTTTGATTGCGCAAGGATCTGGGTTATTTGCTCTGTTGTACCTACATACTCTACCCGCCCCCCTACATTGTGAGCATGAGTTTAGGTACCGGCTGCTGGTGGTTGGGAAACACTGTGTGTCTACTGCACAGAAGTAGGTGGCTGAGTCTTCAGGCTTGCAGGCTAGCAGGTGGAGGGAGCTGTGCTTATTGGTGGTATCAAGTCTGGCTGTGAATCTCTCACTCACTTTTTCTTTCTCATTTGAACGTATTAGCATCAGGAAGACAAGGCCCTTCCCAGGATCTTGTCTATACCACTGTAAATTGGTGATACTACTAGTATAACTGCAGTTCAGAGAACATCTCTCATCCTCCTGAACCGTCACCGGCACAGTACTCTGTTCTTCCTTCTGGCTGATTACCCCTGTTCAGAAAGACAACAGAAGACAAAACATCAAGTTATCATTCACCAAACTTGACATTTGCTTTCCATAATCATTTTTCCCCCAATCCCACAGTTGAAGCACACTGAGTTCTAGCTCTGCCTTGGGGGATATATTCCTGATCCCATCTCCAGAATTTTCCTCCCAACTCACAACCAAGCTGAAGCCATAGAATCACTAACGAGGCTGCCTGGAGCTTCTCCATTTCATGGAAGAGTCAATTCTGGGACCTGAGTTATACACCTAGGCTCCCAAATCAAAGAAGTCCTCTCTCTTTTCTAAGTTCCTCTTTCTTCTGCTTCTCTAAGAAACACAAGGGGTTCTCAGGCTAGCTGCCAACAAATCAGAAACAAGCTCTGACCTCACCAATCTAGAACCCACAATTCAGATCCAGCCCTCTGTGAGCCATCTTTGCCCTATGAAGAGAGACAGAAATACTGCCATCATGTGGACACAATAAGTCATGGCTCAATATTAATTTTTAAAATTCTTACATGAAAAGATGATTCAGGAGTAACTGTGAAACTATCTAAGTCTCTGCTTTCACCATCGTTTTTTATTTCTCCCTTGACCCTTCTCACCACAATCTGAAAATACAATGACTACATCCCCTCTGCTGCTACAAAGCACTATGGAGGAAAACTGGGACTAGATGCCAAGGTAATTCACTTTCTCCTTCATATATTCCCTAGGGTAGGTATTGTTTTGATTTTATAGGGCCACTAAAAATCCTAGGAGGTTTAACTTTGTTTTGATTGTACCTGTGAGTGGCTCAGAGCAGGAAACTCCCTCCCAGTCAGGAACTTCTACTACCAATGCAAGTGGGCACTTTCTCTGCAACTTAGAGTATTACAGCGTTACCAGGGGTACCAAGAAGTAGAGTGACTTGCCCAAGGTGCCACAGCTAGTATGTATCAGAGGGAATATGGATGCTTTGAGTGCAAGTCTTTTTGACTCCCAGGCCAGTTCTCTATCCATTATGCCAAGATGGCTAGGTTTGTTGCTGGTCATATATACGTGATAAATGAAGAAACTTAGGGCAAAGGACAGAGGTGGAAGATGACACACAGATCAGCTCCACCTCAGGGATTTTGTTCCTTGATTTTACCACTCCCTTTCATTTCCATGAGACTCAAATACTCTTGGAGGGGAAACTGAGATTCTTCAGACTCACTTAACTCTCCTGGGGCTTTTTTGTCAGCATATTCCTTCCCCCTAAAGGTTTGGGAACACAAGATCTACATAAGGGATTTAAGCAGGGATTACGAGGGATTTTACACCTTAAGTCAGATAGCAACTTGGGTTCAGAACATGAACCGTTTAAGCAGGAGGAAGGTGAGGTGGTTGTTGTTTTTAAGACATAATTTTAGGCAGTGAGCACCTGATTTTGATACTTAGCTGGAAGCAGTAGCTTATACCTTCTTCTATCTCACCACTTTTCCAGGGAAGGACTTTCTAGTAACTACACCCCAGCAGATAAAAGCCAAGGCGTCCTATAGGCACCCAAAAGAGATGAAATCTAGAAGCTAGCAGAGATACCCTTGGCATCTATGAGACCAGTGCAGGCACAAAATCAACAGAGCACCATCTAGCAGGGACCACTCAAGATCAGAAGGGAGCAATCATCAGCAGAAATTACATTCCTGGTCACCCATGGAGAAGAGGCCCAAAGGAAACAGTAGTACAATGACATCACCCAGAAAACCTTGGTGACCCTGCAGCATCATAAGCATTCCCCAAAATATACAACACCTTTCTACTCTCTCCCAGAGTGGATTAGGGATAGAAATGTAGGCTCAGTCTCTCTCTGTAGCCCAAGTGCATATCCCTAGCTGACTGACAGGCTAAGAATTTTAGTGAAGGTCCAAGACTGCATTTAGGACCACCTTCTTCCCTCACCCAGCATTCTATAATCCTTTCTCTTCATTGTTCCCAATTCATAGTCTCAATGAAGAATCAGAGGTCACGAATGTGGTCTCTGATTCATCTCCCGGCTCCATTACTCCTCTATTCTGTGGCAAGAAAAAAATCTTTCTACTGGCCCACTAAGAGAAGGGCAGAAACCTTCTCAGCCACTGATGAGAAAACTGCTTCAAGTTCTCCACCCCTGTGCAATGAAGCTCTGAGCAAAACAGGGTTGGAGAAAGATAGATTTAGATAGTAAAATTTGAAAAATAATACATATATTCAGTGCAACTGTAAAAACCAACAACAAGGACAAGACTTTCAAAAAATACAGACTAAAGATTGGAAGGACAATACTTCAATGACCTCTAAGTAGTCATAGCAAATAAACTGTTATTGTTTTCTTTAAATTTATCTATATTTTTCTTGTCTTTATTTTCTAGAAAAACTTAAAGTAATTTCTTTTTATAAATCTACCTTGGGCTTTATTCAATGTTCTGCTTATTTCTATTTTTGAGTTATTAAGTTTATAAGGAAAATTATTTGAGGGCCTTTTCTTATAGTCTAGATTTGTAAGAGTTTTTTTAATATGCCTAATTTTTCCTAACAAATTACTATAGTATATTGAAATACATATTTTTAAAAAACCTTCAGTGGCTTAATTAAAATAAGATTATTACTCTAATCTTTTATTTATAATTTTTAACATTTTAATTCATCTTTTAAATTTGAAATATAGCAATAAGTCATCAACGCATTTGTAATTTTATTTTTAGAACATAATGATTAGCAAACTACATTCAAAAATGCCCCCCCGTATACCAATATTAAATTAAACAAAACTATAACTAAAAGAAAGTCAAATAAAAGGGATTTTATAAAAACTCAGATGATTATTAAATAAACTAAAAAGTTTTGAACAAATAATATATACTCCCTTAAAATCCTTTTATTTTGGGTCAGAATTGAGATTTTACTGGTATAAAGAATTCCCAGTGAGGAAGTTCCCTCTACCAATTCATATCAGCGATTGCCTCATTTAGAGTTTAGAGAGTTGCTTGGAGCACTGAGAATGTAAATGACTTGGGCATTGTCACCACACAAGATTGAACCTAGGTCTATCTGACACAGAGGCCAGATCCCTATCCACTATGCCATACTGTCCATCACTATGCAGCACCACCTCTTAGGAGTATAACAATCTCACATATCAACTATAAGAACCTTGGAACTTTTCTCTAGTTTCCTTGTAGAGGACATGGTTTTGAGAATAGAACAGGAAAATATATGCATCAAAAGGTGTTAAGCCTCAAACCTTGGGCCCATAAACACGACATAGGGTCAAGCTTGATAACACCTGGAGAGACTCCAGAAGAAATAGCACTTAACGCTAAAAAGTGTATTCTTCACCCATAGGTATCAATCCAGGTCAGAACCAACAAATTTATTAAGTGCAAGGCAATGAGTTAGATGCTCTGGAGAAAAGAGATTACAGTGTAGTTTCGGTAATATATATAAATACAAATACGCTATACATACAATATAATACACATACATATATATACAATATACATACAAATAAATTTTGGGACATGGCCGTGCATTATGTTTCATATGAGTGATACAAACTATCAGCTATGGGATAGTACTCATGAATGTCCACTGCACCTCCATCCTGGGCAAGACAGAGATCCAATCTCAAAGAAAAAAATAACTGTTAATGTATAGGTGCTAATTACTCCCAATATGGTTGTCCTACTAAGCTTTGACTTCAGATTGCCAATTAATGTCATAACAAACACAGCCTCAACTTTCTCCTGAATGGCTTTATACTCACTGTCTTGCCTGGAAAAGGCCAAGGCATATGTAAGTATCAACTTCATTTGTTTGCCCAGTTTGACCTCTGGATTCTTCCTTGCCACATATTAAGAATTTTACACTTGTTAAGTCCAAGAGACATTTTGATATCTTTAGAGAAAGTTTCCATAGGTTGTTATAGCTATTTTATATGTTTCTCAGTAGAGCCTTATAATTTGATGTCAATCAAGTATGTAAAGCAATAAATGCAATGTTTTGGTGTGACTCCCTCTTTGACTTGAAGGACATATTCAATTCTGTAGAGAAGTTAAGAACTATATAGTAAGCTTAAACAATCTCCTTTGAAGATGTCCTGTTTTATATACATTCCTCTCAACATTATTATGTTGGTGGTATGTTTTAAATAGATAACAGTTTTCCATGTGGACAGGAAATACTCTATTGTTCTCACTCTACTTGGAAATCTTTTATGTATTTGCAGTACATGACTAGGCCATGAGTACAGAAATGAGTCAAAGACTTTGTGATCATTAATAAAAACTATATAAATGATAAAAAATTTCATATACCTTGGTCACTTATAAACCTTGGAGCTTTTAGACATGTTCTTTTCACTCCTAGCCAATATATTGTTCTCTTATCTTTGTAGATTTTTTTGAACAATACAAATTGTGAGTGTTTTGTATAAAATATATAACCTTATAATTGGTCTATATTTGAAGGGATTATAGGTGTCTTTATTTTTTGTAATAAAAAGGTGATGCCTTCTGTTAAGAAATATGAAATAAGATTTACATCAATGAGAAAACATGTAAAATATTTTGCTAATAATTCATGCACCACTATGAAGCATTTGTGCCAATAATTATGGTTCCTAAGCAGACCCATCACTTTCCAGTTTTGCAGGGAAACTAATTTGTCATTTCCCTTGACATAACCATTTTGTCACTCCTTATATTAATAGCACACAAACTTTCTGTTTTGCATTTAAACTATCTAAATATTTTCATTGAATTGGACTTCTTGAAATGATAGAGATAACCAGAAACTTTCCACATCCTCCTTTTTACAGTCTCTCTCCTCTAATTTTTTGTTGTTTCTCAAACTTCTATATTAGTTTTTGTCTATATTGAACTGTTTATTTTATTCTTTTTGCTGCTATAACTCCATGTAGCACCTTATCATTTTGGTGTTTACTTTTATTTGTTGGTCAAAGATAACAAGAATTTCGGACATAATTTTGTTTTCCAGATTCTGTTCCACGTTTCTTTTTTGCAGTCTCCAAATGACATGGTGTTCCAGTTTATTGATGAAAATACCAGTTAATTGTTGATGTGATTTTCCAGAGTCTTCATGCAGATCTTCAGTAGTTTTCTCAAGCTACTTCTTCCATAGAGACAGAGAGAGGAACTAGACCTGTAATTTCATTGGTGTAAGGAATTACTGGGTGAAGAAACTCTCTCTATGATTTTAAGACGTTTTTATACTTTTCTCCAACTTCATGACTTTTCTTTTGCTGTTTTTCAGAAGGCCAATGATAATCTAACTGGTATTTTTC